TAATTCTGTTTCTGCTTTTAAAAAATATAAGCAGGAGCAAAATCAATTTCAAACACTCACTAATGTAATCACGTTACTTATTTATCTTTTTTTAATTACTCCATAATAACTAACTTTCTTTTAATCGAGTGAACATCTATAAACTATAGTAATACCATAACTCAACTTTTTAACCTTTTTATATGACTGCCTGAAAATGTGTAATTTTTGTAGTCAATTCTTGAATTTGGACTTTTTGTACAAATCCAAAATTTTCAATATTTACCCACCCACCTAGCAAAAAAGCGGAGAGGGAATATAGGCTCAAAAAGATTTGGAGAGATATGCAACCAAACACTGTAGTCCAACGAAACAATGGGCCCGGACCGGAGTCGTCATTATCGGAGAGATGTCGGTGGCATGAAATCGCAGCCCCACATTCACTCCTCACTCCTTATATACGTATACATATACGTATCTCACTCATAATCAGTAGGAGTATATGATGATGATGATGATGATGTACGCTTTCCAGTGATTGAGCTCTCCTTTTCTCTGTGTTGTTTGATTGATTGATTCCAGGCATTATTTTCCATCTTTATATAGAGCATTCCCACCTCCATTAAGCAATCATTTGCTGCGATTTGCTTCCTGAATCTCGCTCAACCTTTCTGCCTTTACCAGTAGCTCACTTCACACGTCTATTGAAGAAGAAGAGAGAATATAGGGAGTGGAGTGTCGGATCTGAAGAAATGGCGGTGGATCCGAGACAGCTGGTGGCGGGAGTTTTGACTATCGCCATGTTCGTCATGCTCGGCAATATGATCAAGAGAGACCACTTCGACCCTGCTCCGGTAAGCTTCCTACCCCACCCCCTCAGTGTTCCCGGCTTTATTTAACTGTTTCAGTTCCTTGCTTGTACTTTTCTGTGATTTGAGCAGCTTTAGTCCCTCTGAACTAGGCAGTAGGCACAGCAAATGGACCGATTTGATGAGCCCTTATTTGGATTTCAATGGATTTGTTTCCTTTTTCTTTTTTCACTAAAACACACACTAATTCATTTATGGTCCATGGGGTAAATTCATTAGTTTATCCAATCCGGGGGCGTAATACATACAAATAAATACATCCAATACAATCCAGCATTTTGTAGTTTTGTATAGAGGTGAGATACTTTATTAGCAATATAATTAACACTCACAAAAATAACCCATTTATAATTGGAGACTAGGTTTGTATCGATTTAGTAAGTTTTTTAATGTGAGCCTACAACTAATAACTGACGGATCAATAGATTAGTAATGGATGGCTTGGATCTGGCTCAGTACCTTTCAAGGGGCTGAATGGGTATTGGACAAATGGAGTATTTGTCACGCCTACTGTGAACAAGTGTTGATCTACTTGGTGCTACCTTGAATGGTTTCAGAGACGATATATTATTGACACTGTGTTATAATTTGAAAAAGAAATTGAAATATTGTCGGGAATTTGCAGTGATACAAGTTTCAAGGTTTCTGATTACTTTTGTTGTTTCCTTTTTGTTATTAAAAAGGCGAGCATACATGGCACTAGCAAAACCTCAGAACTGTCACTTCCCGGGGGAGATGGACCTTGGAAAAGTGATGGTGTATCCCTTAAACCATGCTGGACTAAACCAGTTTCAGGTGAGCTACTGTAACTCTCATGTTCATTAACCATCAATGATCTTATCCTTAACATTTCAGTATTATAAACCATTTTTATAAATATGTCTTTCATTTGCCAATAGAGGACGAAGACCAATCTCAAGGATATCTGACCTTCTCATTGACAAATGGTCCTGAGTATCACATCTCACAGGTATTTCGGTTCTCCGTGAATTCGTTATTTGATTGAATTATATATCATATCAATATTATCCTTCATCCCGTTTCATCCCCTGTCAGTCACTCAGTCCATAATCTCAAGACACCTCTTGTGTGCTATCACATACGAAGTATCTACTTTCATTGACATCTGTTTTGAGTCTGAGATATAATGTTCTAGTGTCCATTTGTCCATTCACTTTAAACATGGGCATCATGGATTGTATGTTGTCATGATATCCATATTTATCTGAATTTTAAATCAAATCCATATTCATCTTCTTCAGATTGCTGATGCAGTAGTAGTTGCTAAATATCTGCGTGCAACTCTTGTACTCCCAGATGTCAGGGGAAGCGATCCCAGTGATAAAAGGTTCGTGCAAAGTTGGTATTTCTTGTCTGTTAAAATATCTATATGATGAGGTTAATTTTACAAAAAAGATTTATCACAGAAAAAGTTTTAGGTATATGTAATGTGTGTACAACCATGAATTTAATTTTCATAAACTTGCCATGTGGCTAGCAGCGTGTCACATGGCATCGCGTGAGTTTTATAAACAAAATTGATGGATCAAAATGATATGCATTATAAAGTTTGGAGAAGGAAATGTTTGTAGACCCAATTGATGTTTGGGTGAATGTTTGGTATTGAACTTAAGAAGCGGTGGTTGGTTGTTGGTCCCTGAATGAAGACACAAAGTTACGCAAACATGTAACAAAATCTGATGCATTGCTTATTTTCTCATTTGTCAGGAACTTTGAAGATATATACAGTGTCGAGAAGTTTGTAAAAAGCCTTGATGGAGTGGTCAAAGTAGCCACATCTCCACCCGCAGGCATCTCTGCAAGAAACCTTGCTGTGGTGAAGGTTCCTAGTCGGGTTACTGAAGAAGAAATTGCAGAAAATATTGAGCCGGTTTTCAGGGAGAAGGGAAACATAAGACTAGTGACTTACTTCCCTTCAATGAATATGAAGAAAAGTTCAGAAGAGAAAAGCACTGATTCAATTGCTTGTCTGGCCATGTTTGGGACTTTAGAACTCCAACCTGATGTTCGTGAAGTGGTTGACTCAATGGTCGAGAGATTAAGAACGTTGAGTCAGAAGTCTAGTGGACAGTTTGTGGCTGTCGACCTAAGGGTAGATATTCTGGAGAAAAGAAGTTGCCAAGGAAATGGGTCCCCTGGATCAAAGAGCTGCTACAGCCCACATGAGATTGCAGATTTTTTGACAAAACTCGGGTTTAACAGGGACACAACTATATATTTGACACAATCCCGGTGGGACAGCAGCCTTGATTCATTGAAGGAGCTATTCCCAAAAACATACACCAAGGTAATAAGGCCCCATCCCTAATTATTATTGGGAAAATTCCATAAATAAAGGACTAGAAGATCTCACATTTCTTCAAATATGACAAGCATACATCTATTTATTTACATTAAACATGTTTTACTCCAATAACTGAAACAAAGAGTGAAAACTGAAAACTAATACTCCATTCGTCTGTAAATAACGTTCATGTTTCCCTTTTCTTTCTATCTGTGTTGGATAAAGTCCTTCCTCATTTGTGAATTGTCGTCTATGTACTTACTGGCCTTATTTAATATCATCACTAACCACTGCTATTAGTTTCAAGTTTCAATCTTTAATCTATAAGGGCGAATTTGGAAGTCTGGAAAAAAAATAAAAAACCATGCCAATTGCCAAGTCAATCTAAGAATGTTAATAGGCAATGAATATGGCAGCTTCCACCCTGATAGTCTTTGTGATGTAAGGTCAAGATCTATCTTTTATGTGTTTATGCGCCTTATCTCATCAAATGCTTTGGAAATGTTTCAGGAAAGCATAATGCCAATAGATAAAAAGGCAAAGTTTCTGGACTCGGATGCTGCCGAGCTAGAGAAGGTAATTGACTTGTACATATGCTCAGAGAGCGATGTGTTTGTGCCAGCCATCTCAGGCTTATTCTATGCAAATGTTGCCGGTAAGAGAATCTCTTATGGAAAGACTCAGATTCTTGTTCCAGCAGCTGTTTCTTCTTCTGGATCTTCTTCAACCAATTACATTTCCCACTACGTCTCCGAAAAGAACCACTTTGCATATTCATGTTTCTGCTAGGGTTATTGCCGGAAACTGTAAACCTATCACCCCTTTTCATAGAAAAAATCGCCACGAAAGATTCACATTTCTTTGTAGAAGAGGACGGTCAGGTTTGGCTGTAGAATCTCCCATCATATATCTCTTTTATTTTTTTTCTTCTGTACGTTGTGGAAGATGATAAAGATTTGAACAAACCGCCACTTGTGCGGAATTTCATATGATGTAATTTAATGTAATACGAAGTATTCTATTTATCATATGCATCCCAAATTGGAACAATGTTATTTGCACATTAGTGTAGAACTCTCAATTCTTTTTCTTGTATGTGCTTGATTAGCAACTCATTCTTCCATCTCCAAGTTATTGCAGAAGTATTATCATGTCATTGATGATGTATCACAATAGATAGCCTTCCATTTACACTTTTGATGATTGTGTGTTATAAAAACATGAATATAGATCTGGTCTTGTTCCAGAACAAACAGGTAAAGAACTACACCAGTTGCTCATTTTTTGGTTCTGGTTTGGAACCGTTTCTGAGCTGGTAAAAGCAGGATACTGGTTCCTCCATAATAGGGCCATAGGCTCAGACTGGTTCTGTTGTAAGCCAACCTGGAACTGGAATATGAAGTTATAGGTAACGCTGCCTATGGAACCCCTCTATGAAGTTATAGGTTCAACCCCTACTTCACTAATACTAGGCATGGACTCAAGCCGGGCGGCCCGCCCCGGAACCGGCCCGGACCGGTCACTGTTTGAACCGGGGCATAGGGCTGTTCGGGTTGACCCGGCCCGCTAGTCATACGGTTCGGGCCCGGTCCGGGCCAAATTTAATTTTTTTTTTGAATTTTTTTTTTTTAAGTTTTTGGGTTGGACTGGGTACTTTGGGCCATTTGAGGTGGTTTGGGGTGGTTTGGGGGTGAGGGGGGAGGGTTGGGAGTTAATTAGGAGAAGCCAAAAAAAAAAATTAGATTGGTCTGAGGCCCGGCGCGAACTGGACCCGGGGGTTACCCGGGCCGGTTCCGGGCCTCCCATATCCTGAACCGTGAACCGGCCGGGCCTGAACCGACCAGAGGCCATGCCTAACTAATACAATTATACAATGCATGTTGAAGAATGTTGCTCACTAGTATAGAATAGTAAGGTGTATATAATTTACAATGGGAGTTTATGTATTTATAAAGATTGATTTCCAACTACAGAGTATATGATTATCTGGGGAGTATGACAGCCACGTATATCTTCAATTAGAGAAAAAGAAATATATGTATATTGGGCAGGCGGGGCAGCAACAGGTTTAGTCGTTTAGAGATAGGGACAAGCAAACAGCCATTTATTGGGGAGTATCACGAGCTGCAATGCATCGGCGGTAGGGTTTGATGAACACCTTTGCAATTGGGGTCTTGGGAACTGGGATCATTTTCCCGAGCATCGCTAGCGGCCAGCTGCATCACCGGTTTTCAAAAACAAAACAAAAGAAAAGGAAACAGCATTATTACTAGCACGGGAGTGTCTGTCTGTGGTCTCATATGTCTGTATTTCATACAATGGAAATAATGCTGTCTAGTGGTTGGGTAAAGAGCGCATGTCTTATTCTTATTTTAAATGTCTACTTTATCCAAGCCACACTTTTTATAAATTATCATTATTTTGTAAACCAATCATAACTTGTCTTATCAAAACAACATTACGCTTGCTCATCACTTCATAAATGGTTAAAGATCACCACCTTGAAGACAACATTGTTAAGATTTACGTAGTATCTTTTTGTAGAATGTTAAGAAGTATTGCACTATTAATGGACATGTATAAGAGAATATATATATATTGGGGACTGGGGAGTAGTACTTAGTTACTTACCTGACAAGCCCAAGGCAGAGTGAAATCAGCCATAGTTTGAAATTGAGTCTCACTGTTGAAGTGAACTTTCCAAGGAACTCAATGATGACAATCTATTCAGCAAAAACCCAACAAAAATGATTTCACTTCTACACCCCACAGAAAAGTAGAGTAAGCACATAAAAGACCAGTCAGACCTGGAGAATAAAAGTACTTCCCACAATCCCAACGAAGAGGGGGTTTTTCGTCACACCTTCAAACACATCCAATTGATCAGGCTTTCTAGCATTGAACTCATTGAATATCTGAAATTAGACAAAGACACAAGTTTCTAGCTTCTTTAAGAAAACGCACAATAGCATTGTCGAGGTCACAAAATAGATTAATTTCTTTTTGGATTTCGGATTAAGGACACTTACTTGGCAGAGAACGAAAGTATTGAATACCAGGGTATTCTTCACCATATTAGCATGTTCTGTTCCATCCTGCTCCAAGTTGAGAAGACTCTTGCCACAAAAGTTTATTACAAGGAGGACACCAATTTGATAGACAGCCTGCCCAATACCAAATGCAAATATGAGATCGTCCAGTGTATATATTAATACTGTGAAGTGACGAACCCCAATTATTCTTTGTTTTACAAAAACAAAGAAAAAGTATTACAGCAATAACGAATCATTATGTGTGCGACATATACAGCCACTGACCTGAATAATCAGGTTCCTCCACATGATATTGGTTACTAGAGGCTCCCTGGAGATTTTTACCAAGTATTAGAGCAAGCATCATCACCATAACGAATGTCACACGACTTGGTTACACACAAAAAGTATGTACAAACAGCGTGTTCTATATATAATTTTTAATAATAGTAATAATAACAATGATATCAAAGTTGAATCCTCGCCTTCTACCAACAGGAGGTCTATGCATCAGATGGTCAGTTGGAGGTTCAGTAGCCAGTGCCAATGCTCCAAGAGTATCCATTATAAGGTTTACCCAAAGAAGCTGATAAAAAGGAGGGATGTAAGACAAAAAGGCACAAGGGAGAAAAGATAAATAAATAATGGACTGTTTTCATAAATTAATAAAAGAGATTGAGGGACCGCGAGAGAGAGAAATAGAGAGAGAGAGACCTGCACTGTATTTAAAGGGACGTCACCGGATGAAATTGCTGCTATAACGTTAATAACAAGAGCTGCAACATTGACTGTGAGCTGGAACTGGATAAATTTTTGAATATTTGCATAAACAGAACGTCCCCAACGTACAACCTACAGTTGGACCAAAATAAAAGACAGATATCATATGATCCCTTGTTATTAGCCACATCCAGACGTCTAAGGAACAGAACATTTCTTCAAGCTCTAAGGTATTTACCAACCTTTACTACTGAAGCAAAGTTATCGTCTAGAATGATGATGTCTGAACTTTCTTTTGCAACTTCAGTCCCTTGAATGCCCATGGCTAGACCTATATCAGCCTATGCACAAAAAGTAAAAAGATATAATAAAACCCACACACGATGTAGAAGACCTAAAACATTAGTCACTATTAAAATCATGCAAAAACCTAGTTCTGTGTTTAATTGAAAGTTGAATAAATTTGTATGGACCACAAAGAAATGAATTAAGTTATTAGGGAACTAAAATGGGTAAAACACCCAAGTAAATGAGAAGCGGAAAGATTGTGTGTGAACTAAAAACCTGTGTAATGTGATCCAATCTCTAAGAAGTCGTGATTAAATATCATAATAACTAAGTGAGTCAATGGCTAGGCCCATCCCCATTCCTTAAGACTCTGTTTGGATGGATGGTTTGGAGCGGTTTGGAGAGGAAGATTTTCGAGGGCTGTGTATTATGATATATATATTTTTATTTTTATAAAAATATACATTAATATAATACGTGGTCATATAACATTTCAATCACTATTAATTTGTTTTCAGTAACATTCTATTTATCAAGAAGAGATCAGAGTGAGAGTAAAAAGAAAGGAAACTAACTTCGTGGAGCGCTGGGGCATCATTGGTTCCATCTCCAGTAACAGCAACAACTTCTCCTTGTTTACGCAGTGTTTGTACAAGTAAAAGCTTGTCACTAGGGGATGACCTTCCCATTACCTAAAAACTCAACAGTGTTATATTAAGGTGAGGACAGACTCTACAAGAAATAATGGATTATTAATAACTAACCGAAATCCTTTTTGCAACTTGTTCTCTTTCCTTTTCAGGCAACTCACGGAAAGCCTTCCCTTCAATTATATCATTCCCTGTAATATCTGCATCAGGAGATAAAATCCCACACTCCAAAGCTATTGCTTTAGCTGTTTGAATATTATCTCCAGTAACCATGCGCACCTAATAAGGGTTCCCCCATTCATGTAAAAGTGTCAACACTGCTTAGTCTTTCATCAAAGAATCTAATGCGAATACAGTAAGACCTAGAATGGTTGTCTATTTATAAGATGAACAAACATATCAGAACTAGTAGCTTTTGACTTTCTTGTCTAGTTGAATTGGATGTTACCGAACGCTTTTCCTTTCAGTAAACTAGGCATGTTCAGACATTTAAGCCAAATAGCCCCTTCCAAATGGGGCTCTAGATATGTCATTGAATGAAAACTATCTTCACGTGACAATTATGTTGTCCATTATTGGTTATGATTACGATCATGCTTTAACAGACCACATCATTAATTCATAAACAATTTAAAAGGAATAATAAGTACCTTAACACCAGCATCTGTACAGAGTCTCACTGCATCTTTGACACCAGGGCGGCAAGGATCCTGTGCAAGGAAATAGAGACTTATTATCCTATATAATATGAAATGCTCAGCAAGGAAGCTTGCAACATGAGGTTGATGTGTTTCACTTGTAGGAACACATGTTCAGAATATAGTACAAAGAAACGCCTACCAGAACAGGAGAGGTACACTCAACACACAAATGGCGATGAAAGGTCAAAAGCAGGACAATATGGCCAGCAATTCAAATGCATACCTTTATGCCAACAATGGCAAGCAGAATAAGATCTTCTTCAGGCAAATCCCATTGTGAGAGCTGCTCTTCATCTGTTGGAACTTTGTCTATGTCACAAGTTCTGTAGGCAATTGCAACACACCTCAAACTTCTTGATGCCATATCTTCAATAGCTTCCTTGAAAAAACCCTGAAAACATAATACTAAAAACGGTGAAAAGATGATTTCATGAGAGAGTAAATAATCATGCTATTATAAATCCTTATTTTCATGACATTAATATTTTGAAAATTGAATCTCAGAAAATCTTCCTCAAGCAACTGGGAGCAGTGTCTTCGGCAAGACTTGTAAAAACTGTTGGGCAATATAACTACAGACCTTCTCCTTCCCAATGGACTGCAAGGAACCATTGGAATCATAGTACCAAGTGCATGATTCTAAAATGATTTCTGCTGCTCCCTTCCAATGTGCGTGAACTTGAGAGTTACTCTGCCAATAAAGTGGAATGTGAAAGGTGATCATAGTATTTAAACAAGAAACAATGCATTTGATAGAATACACTCCATCTTTTTTACCCAGTAGCTTTTTCACGAAGTTTACAGAGAAAAAAGTAGGGGTAGTGAATAATAGGAGAAAAAGATGAAAGAGCAGAAAAGGAAGATGAAAAGTAAGTATCTATGTTTATTTTATCAAACTTGCCAAATTCGTTAGGTGGAGAAAATAAATAAAAACTTCCCAAAAAGGGATACTTATCAAATAAAAACTACCAAGTTCTCACAGTCCCGGAACTAGAGCAAGCATCTACACCAAAGTCATTCTGAATACTTTGTGTCATGCTCTACTGCATACATAGAAAGTTCAAAAGATTTGGATTTATTTCCGAGAAAAGAGAAGAGCTCATTCCTACAAACTTCAGTCATAAAAAAACAAAACACCCTGTTATTGGGTGCATTCCCAAATTTTCTACTTATGGCTTTGGAAATCTATTTTGAAAAGAAGAAAAAAGTGCAGCGCGTTACAAGCTAGAAAACCTGAAATTCAGGAAAGGTCTATTACCAGTCGTCTAACTGCAGCACCCCCTCGCTTTTTTGTAGAGTTGAAGGGAGAAACGTGAAGTACTACAGATTCTGATCTAACATCATCAAACTTCATACCTAACTGCAATTCAGATAACATAAATAAGCAACCCATAGTAAGCATGTATATGGACTCGATAATATCAAAGACTAATACCTTAATGCCCCAAGTCAGAATCGCCTTCTCTGTAGGTGATCCAGAAACCTCTGTTCCCCTGACATCCTATTTTGTGTGAACATAAAGACAAAGAAGAACGGCATAAGAGAAATTAATCAACAGTTAGACAGAGAAAGAGGGACCTGAGGATTTGTTTATGGGGGGAAACTGGATTAAAACTTCTTGTGATATTAACTATACAACTGAGAAGATTATAAGGGCGCCCGAAAAATGTCATCCACAAAGATGAAAGGTAAATGCAATTTTACCATTTACTTTTTTTTTAAATGTAACACACATTATCTAAGAGACTGAGAACATAACTGAGACCAATAAGGGGACCCCAACTGGTGAATATTTTGCAAGAAAAAGCCACTTTCAGATAGCACTGTTATATGACACTAAGAAGAATATTTTGCAAGAATATTTTACAGTTATGACACTTACAGATCAAATGTTATGAAATAACTAACACCCTCCTCAAATCAGGGCCTCGGGAAATATATCTTCAGAAGAGGGAAATGAAGGTGAGACAGGACAAAGAAAAATCACCTTAGAAGAAAAAACACTGCCTGCTGTATTTAGCGCTATACCCTCATGTATTAAAGAAGAAACAACTGAGGGTAATTGGGATCCATCTTCAGGTAGATCCATCTTCTTTTTCCCCACAACAGCATCAACTACTGTCATCTGCATTGTGAGAGGCAACAGTGATGAAAGACTCAACGTAGTTGAACAGAAAAAAATGTACGGAGTATCTGACAATTAACGTTTGAAAAGAGAACAAAAAGGGCTGCAAAGACTACCTGATTCAGAGTTAGCGTGCCAGTCTTATCACTACATATAGTTGTAGCAGATCCCATAGTTTCACAAGCTGAAAGTCTACGCACCTACAAATGGCTTTTCCTATTAATTGTATGCCAAAATACTGAAAATAGTATAACCACAGAGCTAAACATAAAGAGCTCAATTCAATAAAGGAAATAAAAGGAAATATATACCAGGGCTTTGTCAGCCATCATTTTCTTCATTGAATATGCTAAGCTGTCAAATGTTTGAAAAAATATTAAAGCAGAAGATCAGATCATTGTTAAGCAGTCAAGTGGTTTATTATGGTGATGTGATACTAACGTCAAAGTAACTGCCAATGGAAGACCTTCTGGGACCGCAACTACTACAATGGTAACCTAGAGAAAAAATTAATGTCAGTAAAATAAACATGCAAGAAACTAGGATACAAATTCAGAATTTTAGATAGAACTTACTGCAGCAGTTATGATGTGTATGACACCATTAACGATTTCACTAATGCTAGTCTTCCCACTCACAAACTGAGAAGTTCCATCAGGATTTTTGGTAGTCCCAGTGAAAAATCTGTAGAAAGTTCAATAACTACAGCTGATAAAATAGCAGGAAAGCGGGGACTGAAACTATGCCTTATGAGTTATGGTAAATAATTTACCTGACCAGAAGAACAATTAAGACAGTAAGTGCCACCGCAAGGCCCACAATGCCTATAAAAGTTGCTACTCCATTCAACCTCACCTGCCATATATAATTCGAAATTAAAAAAAAAAACGACTGAAACTTTGGTGTAGGTACTGCATAGCTCAACCCAAAATTTACCTGCAATGGGGTCTCTTCACCGGTATCCTCTGATATACTCGCCATCAGCAATCCCCATTCGGTATTTATTCCAACACCAGTTACCTAAAACCACATACCTTAGCTAAATTTTAAGGGGAGATTGTCATGAACTGTGTGCATGTCCAATAATAAATTATGAAAGCTCTTAATTTAATCATGAATTCATGGGGAAAAAAAACCTCTCAGGACAGATTGTTAATGAAAAAGCCATCTCAGGACAGATTGTTAATGAAAAAAATATGAGTAGCAACTAAAACATTTTAAATTTATATCAATAGAGAACAGTATGCCGAAGTTTTCTAAAAAAAGGTTTTAATAACTAAAACCAATACGGAATAGTGATTTGAATAACCAAAAATAGAAATGTAGGGAACAAATACACGTGTATAGAACGACACAATAAGCAGTGTTGTGGCAAAATATTGAACATGAATATCTTACCAGCATTTTTCCTTCACCATCAGCTACCTTGCAACCAGCCATCAAGAAAGGTGACTTTGAATTTTTTTGCATCTGCGTACAAAAAAAAACTTATTTGAGGAAATTATAAACAAATTGACCAATTCCTTAATAGAAAATTAGTAACCAGCTTACAAGCTTGCTTTCGCCGGTCATGCTGGATTCATCTATAGACAAGGAATGGCCACTTACTAGAATTCCATCAGCAGGAACCTGGAAGAGAACTCAATGTAAAAAGGCCCAATGTATATGATAAAACAAGGAAGTGAATGAAAATTACCACACTTACCTGATCGCCTATCTTGAGAGGTACAATATCACCAACAACCAGTTCATATATTGACATCTTTTCTCGCCTGCCACCTCTAATAACCTTCACATGGTTTAAATGCATGCAAGTATTACAGCATGATAAACATCTGGAAACAATAAAAGAAATGATAGAAACATAGACATTCCCGAATCGCCTTCAAATTACCTCCACTTGGATATTTTTCTTTTCCTCATTTAAGGTTTGGAATTGGAGCGATTGACGATAGTCACTTGTTGCTAAATAAAGTACAACACAAAGAGTGAGCCTATTAGTCAAAAATATATATAATAGACAATTGTCATATTGAATACAAATATCAGAGGTCATAACGAAGGGTAAACCAATAAGGAATTCATGCATTTAGCAACATGATGTCGGATTATTCACAATTTAACAAATGTAAATTTTTGAAAGGAGAATAATGGGCATGAAAGTGGGCAGTTTTGACTCATTTTCTTCTAATGCTTCTGAGACGATATAGATATTTATTAGCAACATTTCACCTACAAATATAGTTTTATCATTATAATAGTCACAGTAGGATGAGACGACTAATCACTCAACTAATTCTGAAAAAAGTCATGCAGATCACACAAATCACACAAAATAGCTCAAAGCATCCCCTAGCAACAAATAGCTATTTCAAATAATTAAAGTAACACTTCCAGCAACTTTATTCATATGAAAATCGGAAGTAAACAACAATAGGATAACTATGTGAACTAATTCAACACTAAATAGATCTAGATTATATCTAAACACGGGTAAACATTAAACATTCAAGGATTTCTCAATGATCCCAAAAATACTTATATTCCAGTCAACATTCATGTTAAGTGAATATAGCGGGGTGGGATGGGGATCATAAAGTAGTCAGGAAAAGAAACTACAGGGGAAACCATTGAGAGATCACAAAATAGTCATATTTAAAATGCATGATGTCCAATTGTCCATAGTTTCTTTCTTTTCCAGATAAAGGGTAACATCAATCTATTTACCTGTTACAAAAATAACAAGAAAAACAGCAAAAAAAATGCTACCACCGTCATACCATCCTGTTGAAAGACCCTGCATATATCAATATTACAATAGTTATAAAAGATATAACATTGACTGCACATGTTTAACTATAATACGCCCGAGACTGTTATATGCTTTTGACAGCAAGTAGTTATTTGAAAACTTTAAGCAAAACTTAAGAGGACTTGATTGGGTAAGGAATCTTTATGCAACTTTATTGGGACCTTTGTAGATTGTGTCAAACTCTAAAGTAAACAACAAGAGATATACATACTTCTGTTTTTATTCCAAGTCCCAATGACGCCACAGCAGCTATTATCAAGATGATGAGGGTTAAATCTTGCCATGCCTCCCAAAGGAACATCTGCAAAAAGTTAAAAGAAACAGTATTATTGGCCAGTGGTGACATTGAATCCCCTTTACAATAATATCAACAATAAAACTGCATGGACTAAAACTAATACCCAAAAACTGCGGCCCTTTTTGGTAGGGTATGTGTTTGATCCAAACGTACTGCGACACTTAGACAGTTCATCTTCATCCCCAATGATTCCTGTATCCAAATTGGTTCTTAACTTTTCTGATAGGCCTTTGACCTGATTAACAAAGTGAAGGCTTCTATTAGTAAGTCTAAAGGTAAAGATAGCAGTAGGATCTTAAAACTATAAAAGGAAAATAAAATTGAACTTGACTTGCCCCTCCATTTTGTTGCAGGACAGAAAGATTATGATCCCTTGTAATTGAAGCTAACTGCTCAAGTCTGATCCCGTAATCACCACTTGGAGCTGGAGGAGTTACTGAGGTTCCCAAAACTAACAAACCAAGTTTAGATCAACACAATAACACATGTGAGATCCTAAAACATTTAAAATGAATAATGTTATTTACTTATTTATGTGCTAAGATGGATTTTTTGCTATGTCAACAAAAAAAATAAAAAATAAAAGAAGCACCACGAACCCCACACATGGATGCAATTAAATTACTCATATCTGACGCATAATCAATATCACTTCAAATATTTTAACACTTCAAACAGGTAAATGCATTATGCATTTTTTATACCCAAACTAAGGCATATTATCTGAAAATTTCAAGGGTAAAAATATGTTCCAAAATTTCCTCTTTCTTCCCTACATCTTTTTCAGAGGGGGCAACAAAACACATAAGCTTCATGGAAATTTAGTCCATATCCAACAATATAGCCCCTGTAAGCGCACCGCTCAATACAATACAATACAAGTGAACTGCATGAACCTTCTTCCAAATGTAAATTATATCATCCATCCAATAACTACACTATAAAGCAATATCATGGAATCGTACCAATATATCAATGTTAGTGGTAGTGTGCCTATATAGTATATACGAAACATGAAAGCATGTATATTCAGATAAGAAAAAAGAGCAGTTTACCAAAATGCCGTTAAATCATATCCACAAATCTAGAGTAAACAGAGATGATACTGTATGTTTTAATTTTCACTGAAGTAACCATAAGTCAATAGACTTGAAGGCAAGACAGTACAATTTAGTCCATTTTATTTCAATTTAGACTTATGCAAGGGATGATTTCATAGTACGTACCGATTTCTCTTTGCCCAGCCAATTTGAAAAGCATTGCAGCCTATAAGACAAACTGATCAATATAAGAAGTTAATTGATGTGGAAACTGAACAGCATTAAAGATTGGATTTTGTCATTACTCTTATGACTTGGGCATGTGCTCTAATCATTCTTCTTCTCTGATCTTTATGTTCAACCTTTTTCAAGTCCAAAGTATAGCGGAATCGACGTGAAGCGTTGAGAACAAGTGCAGCTTGCTGTCAATTTTACACGATGTCAGAAGGATAAAATTTTAAATGAACAGCTCATTGCAGCAAAACAATGGAGGGAAATCTAAACTCTAGTCTAAGCACACTCCTGGTGCAAAGGCGTGTTTTTTGTACAACTGTTTGATGAAATATATAAAATAAAACAGCAATGAGCAAAGCTATAAAACCAAACTCGACCACACAAAGTTAACACAAGCAGGGTGCGATCATTATTTTATTTAAGAGTGAATGAGTCATAAACAAGCTCTAACATAGAGGAAAATATGATGTAGAGAAAATGTTTCCACTTATCAGCTTTGAACAAAAAAGTGAAAACTTCACTTTTTTCATAAGGAGATGTAAAACCCAACTAAAAATTTGGAACTGGCTGAATTGATAAGCATATCCAACAACTTGATTTTTATTTTAGCACAGAAGACGGAAGATGGAGGAATATTCTAATCTAGGTTAGTTCCAGGAAACTAGTAGTGTACTATACAAACAGGATACACAATCAACCCCACAATTTGATGGTTATAAATGCATTCCATCCACTTAGCCTTCACTGTTAGTTAATTAACTAAGTACTTGAAGCTTCAAAAGATGATTCTAAATAGATCTAACTGGGAAAGAAATTTTAAGAGAGAAAGGTGTGTTGAATATGCAGTAGACATCACATTTGTAAAAGCCGAGGGAATTCAAGATAGTAGCAGTAGACTGTTAAGTTTTTATTACCATCATTAGAAAAAACACTTCCAACCAGAATAAACTCATGGTCTTACACTCTTATTATGGTCAATGGATAATGTCAGATAGACATATATGTGATAATGGAATTGCTAATTTCTCTAATTTCATAGCCATGAGATTTCCAAGGTAAACTTTCGATGATACTCTATAAAAACTATTGAGAAATTCCTCAAATGGGCCTAAAACATAACATGTTTTCTCAAATGGGAGCACTGTTACTTTTCACTAAATATAAATAAGACTCATTTACTCCTCAAAAAGAAATTCTAACTACTTATCTTATTCTTTAGAACTGTATGCTCCTATTTGGGCAATTTAGTCATGTTTTACTCCTATTTGGAGCAGGTCCTTAAAATTATTTACGTGGGGTGAAGGTATGGAGGAATTCCTGGTTTGATTCATTCATCAATCATCACAGATGCATAGGTCCAGCACCATAATTTTGATGGATGTATTAAAATCAGCAAAGCAACAAATCGCTTCCATTGTTTAAAGGACAGCATCCAAACACATTAGACAAAAAAAAAATAAACATGCAGAATCTGCAGAGAGATCAAGCAACAAGGCCTATTGCTGAATGCATATTTCTATCGAGCAAGGGCCTTACTCTCCACCGTTTGAGCGCCTCCAAGGACGCCTTTTTGGTATTCCCAATGTCAAAAGGATCGGAGAAGCCATCTTGTTCATTTGCATTTGCGCCGGCAACATCAGCATTGCCAGCCTCGATGTCGCGTTCGTCGCGTGGCTGCATTGCGCCTAATACCGTTGAAGATGATATAGCTTGGGATAACGAATTCGCACAATCCTCCCGGCCTCCACCCCCAGATGATGATGTCAACAGGACGCCGCCGCCGTCCGTCGCAGCACCGTTAGAGAGATGGCAGCGCCGCTTCAACGGAGCCACGGCTTTCCGTTGAAAACAGAAAGGAAATGAAAGGAAAAGGAGGAATGCTGACCACCGCCGGAGCAATAAGACGTCGAGGGTTGCATATAAAGAAAATCCGCGGGCATTGAAGCATACTGATATGTGATTTTGATCCCATAGTTTGGGGAAACAAGTGGCAGGACGAGCGCAGAATCAGGAAATTGCATTTCTGGGTTCGATATTTATTGCTCAATTTGCATGCATCAAACTTTTCCGTCTCATACACTACAAATTATACAACCATCCAGCAAGCTTCTATAGCATGAGCAAACTGATTTTCAGGTTGATCATGAATAAGGATCCGAGCTGATATCCGTTAGATATGAAATTGAATATGCATTTATCCATAATAGTCTTAAGGCTATTTTTTTTTTAGGGGGGGGGGGGGTGGGTGGAGAAACCATTTTTTTAAGGCTATTTTGGAGAAACCAGCTAAAATGGAGTCTATTGTTTGAGGTAGACACCATTTTTTTTCCACTAGATATGAGGCCGTTTGGAACCACTATTTTTCGGGTTATCAGGCTTATCAGCCAACTTTTCACCAAACACGTAAATTTTGCTGTCGCGCGCTGAATTGTGTAATAAGCAGAAAATGTAAGGTTGAAGTTTCTTTTCTGGCTGTTTTGGATGAAGTTACTGTGGACGGCCATTTTAGCTATTTTCACTTATAATTTTTTCTTTATTTTTTTTAATGAAATATATTTTAAAAATAATTTTTTCTTAAATCAGCTGAAGCAGCCACTTCAGGTAGAACTTCATAAATTTCAGCAGAATCAGCCAAATCTGCTGATTTTCATATTACTAAACGGGCTGATAAGTTGAGTTTTGCTTTGTCCATTGGGCAACACACCGGCTTACACAGTGAGTGTAATTTTCTATGCATAAATAATTACGTTCCAAGTTTAATAAATGGAAGTGTATGTAATCATGAATTATCTATGTAGGTACAATTAAGTTTTTAGAATCACAAGCATATAAGTCAGTATATAACTCGATGTGTACACGAAGCAAAACTTATATAAGTTTCTAAGATTTGGATGAAGACATGAAGTATGCTTGCTTGGTAACAATTGAAACAATAGAGGGAAATGTAAATTACTTTATAAATTAATGTTTTAGTATAAACCAGAAAGTAAGATCGGCATGAGTTTGAGATGAATTAAAAAAGGGTTGAATTGAAAACGTAATAATATTGATAATATTTGAAACCAGCTTATTAATTTTAGATCCAATCAAAATTAACACTTTCTCCATACAAGACTACAATCACTACATGTCATTTAATTGACTAGATCTATCAAATTCCAAACATAACCTATAGAGAGATGAAAATATTGTGTAGAATTCTAGTCTTAAACTAACTTATACTACGTATTTGTATAATGTTGTAGGTTCCTAATACTGCGTAGTATTGAGTAAGGGCATCTTCAAGTTTGTGATATTTATCAATTTATGTAACGCATGCAAACTTAGATATCACCTCACAAATATTTCAAGTTTCGGATATTTGAATTCGATAATAATAGTAATAAGAAAATAATTACTTATACTCCGTATATAGCTAAAATAATAGTGGTGGACAAAAAATTGGCATTTCATATATACGTAGTACGTAGTAATTTTGATAGTAATATTAATAGTGTTGTATTCTTTTTAGGGCAACTTCCTAAATACTCCGTAATATTATAATGTCAAAAATAATGTGAATGTTATTGTCTAATGTGTTTGGATTTTTTAAATGGCACATTATATTGTTGACTTTATTATCGCTACTGTTATTGTTGATGTCGTGTAATTGTAAAATCTTAGCAATATACAAAAATGACATGGTTTAAAATCAATGAGAAATAATATGACTTTCTAAAACAAAAACAAAAAAAAACTGGTAGAGTAAAATAAATAATTTTTCAAGGAAACAACAATCTAGATACCACTGAAACTACTTGTGTTTAGTTTGACCAAAGAAAATATATAAAAAATGAAATATGGATAATAATTTGTACTCCCTCCGTCCCTAAAAATACTTCCAACTTTCCTTTTTCATCCGTCTCAAAAGGAACTTCACTTTCCCTTTTTGGCAAAGAATTTGTGGTTCACAATAATTCTTACACATTTCTCTCTCCTCTGCATAATTATCCACCACACAATTCACACTTTCTTAATTTGTGTGCTATTTGTACTACGGAAGTAATTTTTATGTCATTTAAATTTCTTATTCATATATGATATAAATAAGTAAAAGGAAAATTACAATTTTAGCCAATCATTCATTCTCATGATGAAATGTAATAATTTTCTTTTTATTTATTTTTACAAATAAACCTTCCTTAATTGTGTATTTGTTGGTAATGTAGGCCATATAGTGATATTATGGATGTTCTTCATAATGTTGTAAACTCCATTAAAATATTATTCTTAATTGTGCGTTATAAATGCCATTCCTTTGTTATGCAGCATGTTTAAAAAAGCTTCTTATTGTAACATTGTTAAGAGTAAAAACATACTCCGTATATTGTTAAATAGTTGAAATGTAATGCATTTATAGCATTTTACAATTGCAAGAAAAAATATAAATAGGATTAGATGAGTGGTCAAAAATGCAATTTTACCTAAATAGGTCTAATAGGATAATAAACCTCATTGCTTCCATGTTTTCTTTCCTTGAATTTTTCCCTCAACATTAAAGTCTACTTCTTAAGGGTCTGTTTGAAACTGCTTTTTAAAAAAAGCACTTCTCAGCTTTTGGCTTTAAAAAGCACTTATTTTCCCAAACACTACAACTTTTATTTTTCTCGGCTTCCGCGTCAAAAGTGCTTTTACTTTTTCTATTACACAAAAAGCACTTAGGGAGTGTTTGCAATTGCTTCAACTTTAAAAAAGTGATTTTTTTAAGTGATTTTGAAAAAAGTGATTAATAGTAAATGTTTGTAGTGTTTGAGAAAAAAGTGATTCTGGAAAAGTAAAAGTTGGTAGTGTTTGGTAAAATAAGTACTTTTTGTGTAATAGAAAAAGTGAGAAGCAGTTTAAAGCACCCTTCTACCTGCTTCCAGCTTTTAGCTTTTAAGCGATTAATTTAAGCATAATCTGTCATTTGAAAACACTTTTTTCAACTTTTTTTAAGCCAAAAGTTGAAAAGCACTTTTTTTAAGCAAACCCAAACACTCCTTTTCAAAATCACTTTTTTCTCAAACACTGTCAACTTTTATTTAATCACTTCTCTCCATTTCATTAAAAAAAGTACTTTTTAAAAGCAGAAGCTGTTGCAAACAGACCCTAAAAGTGCTTGGATCTAGCTACTTCTTAAAAGCTATTCAGATCTGTTTGCAAAAAAAAAGCTATTCGGATCTACTTCTTACTTTTTCAAAGAAGCATAAGAAAATATAGAAAATATAGGAGTGTTTGGGTGAAACTTCATAAACACTTCTGGCTACTTTAAATTACTCCTAGAAATAATTTTTAGAAGCTGAAAGAAACCAACTTCTAAAAAACTGATTTTGATTCTACTTCTAAAAAACAAAAGCAAAATCAATTTCAAACACCCCATTAATTTATTTAATTTGCTGATGGGATTTATTTCCTCTCCATGGCAATTGTTGTGAAACTCCTACACCCTTTTCTTTATTTATGCAACGGATTTATTTTGATAATAGAAATACACAAGGAATTAAAAGGACAAAAATTGTAATTGTGATACGCCGCAGCCTCGACGCAGCACACGAGAACGGCTACCAAACTCCAGGTTTTTGAACTCGAACATCTACGTCAACTGCCTACACGCATGGATGGACAAAACTGGGAGCTACTGACGTGGAAGATCAGAATAATGTTTTATTAAATCACTACTTCTTTATTAATTTCATTATTATTCCTTATCCGTTTTTTAGCATTAGTTGGGTAGCTTCCTATTTCCTTGGCAGTAAGTGAGTGGGTGGTTACACCCCACTACACGTCTACACCCATTACTTTCCCCATTTGTATTGTATTAAAACGGGAGCTCTGCTCCTGCAGAAGGCATGAAATGAGCATTACTCTTCTAGCCATCTTCTCCGAGCTCTTCTATCTGTGTTCTTCTTTTTCTTTTAGATTCCCGGGTATCAATTGGTATCAGAGCCCATGGCTACCCGCAACCTATCCAACACCGAATTTCGAAATGAAACCTCTGAAGCCCTAGCTCGACATGAATCCCAATTCGACCAAATCAACCAGCGCCTGGACAGATGGGAGGCAAGGTTCGAACAGTTTACTCGCACCCTAGGAGAGAAGCTGTCAACGTCCGATGAGGACAACCCCTTTGCCGACGAGGACACATCGACACACCCGGTCCATACTCACCGGGCTTATGACCCCAAGATATTTTTCCCAAAGTTTGGTGGAGGAGATCCTACTGGATGGATTTATCAGTCCGAACAATACTTTGAGTATTATCACATCGTTGCTGAGCACCGCTTGCGCCTCGCTGCCATTAACCTGGAAGGCTTAGCATTACAATGGTATCGTTGGTTCATAAAGCGGAGGGGACCAGTGAGGTGGAAGGAGTTCACCCGCGCCCTTCGAGTCCGGTTTGGGCCTACAGAATTCGAAGATCCGTCGGAGGCCCTATCTCGCCTCCGGCAAATCACCACAGTGGCCGCCTATCAAGAAGCATTTGAGCAGCTTTCAAATCAGGTGGATGACCTCCCAGAAAATTTTTTAACAGGAAGTTTCATTGGGGGATTACAGGATGACATTCGACTGGAGGTTAAAACTAGGAAGCCACGAACGTTGGAGGAAGCTTTTGGACTTGCCCATTTGGTAGAAGAAAAACTACTTGTAAGCAAGTCGGGACTTTGGCGGTCTAGCAGCAGCAAACCGTTCCAACCGTCTGCCACCATACGGCCTAATACATCGGCCGGCATACTAGGCCCTCCTCCGAACAGTGATGATAAGAAACCGGTTGCACCTATCAAGAGGCTGCCTTGGGAAGAGATGCAACGTAGAAGGTCCCTTGGTCTATGTTTCGCTTGCAACGAACCATTCACGGCAGGACATCGTTGTCAACAACCCAAGCTCCTGTTACTTGAAACTGAAGACATCGAGAGGGAGGATGAACCCTCCTCGCAGCCCAATGACAATGTTCAGGAACCAGAGATCACACTAAA